AAGAAACTCACAGGCATCTATGAAGTAAACACCGAACAAAATTGACAATATTCACAACCAACCATGGCAGAACGTAATGAATATGAAACATCAGCTGCTGATTTAAATCGAGTTGGTTTTTAAACAAATTAAGTAAATAAACGAACAACCAAACTAAATGCTCACACTTACAATTGATGCATAAAAAAAGATATATGTAAATACAGGGTGATTCAAAATTGCCGCCATTCCTCTGGAGGTGTTGGCTGTGGGTGTCTTAGGAGTACAGGAAAAACACTAAAAAAAATATTAAATGTTATTAAAACTCAGATATTTGAAAAAAACTAGATCAGAAGGATGGCAACAATGTTTTTCAAGGTAATCTGCCTAATTAACATTTCGTAAACACCTGTTCCTTGTTATTATTATAAACTTCGGTAACCATGGATAAACCAAGCAAAGAAAATAAAAGTGACAATAACATGCGTTAAGGTTAAGATAACGGTGTCACCTTGCGGTCAGTGCTGCGACGAAACAGCCCCTCGACTGCTGCCATCTTTTTGGAGCAAATGAGTGATATACCTAAATCGGTCACAACTGTCATCCAAAGCCACCGGTTAAAGGTTATGTATCATTGATCAATATTATTGGTCAAATAAAATACAATTCGGTTGTTAAAACACAAGTGTTCCCAAGAAGAAGAAGTCAGTTTGACAAATACTTGCTATTATTGACAAAGGCTGTCTACCTGTAACTATCTGTAAATGACAAAAAACATCATTGCCGTCTTTTCATCAAAAAATTATAGAAGAATACTTGTTTAATATCAAAAATGTTAGTAATTTAACAAAAAGATCGTAATTTTTCTTTTCGAATGCTTAAGTATTCCAATAGGCTACCAATCAAACGTGGGACCTTCCGTCCGTGAACCGTCCAAAATAATTCTTAATAACAAAGCTGAAATTCGATCCTCAATTGTTAATATCTTCAATATTTATCTCGTACTCTCTAAGTGGGCCTCTATATACCCTTAAAACGAATGACGCCAATTTTGAATCACCCTGTAGATTATTTTATCTCAACTACCCAACTTGCTCATAGATTTGGATTCCAGCAGACGGTTTTAACATTCTAGGCGGATGATACAAATTTCATTGCATGAAACTCAAATATGAAAATATAAATTCTCAATTGAGAAGATGAATTTTTTACCAGGACATACAAGAGGTCAACAGGGTATTTCCTGTGAACTATCATGAAATTAGCCGAAAAAGAAATTGATAATATTGGGAACAAACCAATGGCAGAACGCACAATGTATCAAATCTGAGTATCAAATAAAAATGCAGTTATTTTTTAAGGAAATTAAGCAAAAAAGAGGAACACTTGAATACATGTTGAAATTGGCAACTAATGTAAAAAAGCCGGAAATTCTGTTATTATTCTTCACTCAAAGACAATTCGCAGCCAAAAAATTGTGATCACTCGAAATGGCCTTCTCACGACTTGGCGATTAGAACAAATACTTCGAAAATGCACGCACGAGTACCCATTGAAGTTAGGTTACGCAACGCTGGCATAATTTACATACTCAAGTTAATTGAAACGCTGGGTACTCTAACGAGCAATTTGAACCAGAGCGTTGCCATTCCGCCAAAGAGATTTCCAACAAAAATCCAATGTCAATGTCCGTGTTCAATGGCGTGTCGGGTATTAGCTGCCTATATGTCATATACAATTACCCCCGTAGAACCCATCAGCACCTTTATGGTACAAGGAAATGCTAATAAAAAGATATCGGGTCTTGGTAGGCAGTCAAGGCTTTATATCAGGTGTAGAATTAAAGAATGCAGGAACAACGCCAGAGATGAGTCAAAATTGGAAGTTCTGATTAAAAATTAACTTAGTTCATGTTGCTTCATTGAAAACATGCTAGAAAAACTGCTGGTAAGACAAGTCTTGTCTCTCTGGCTCAAAAAATGCCAGTTGATTGTTGAGATATCTGTAGATTTCGGTAAACGTGAAGTAGGAAATCGTAGGTTTCAAGGCCATCGATTCGCCCAACCACTTTTAATAGCGATATAAATAATTGCGATTTAAAAAAATCAAATTAAATTCGACAAAAATGATAGTGAACGTGAAAACATTCCGAGTTTTTCGGAAATTGAAAAGTAAATTTTTAAGTGCTTAATATTAATAAATTATTTTCTAATCTAAATATGCGTACTTGTTTCCTGCTAGGACAAGAGCCAAAGATTCTCATATAGAGGAAAAAGAAGTCATTGATTTCGCTCAATCGCTACATGAACTTTCAAGACAGCCGGTCTTAGCAAGTTTTCCTAAAAAAACAGTATAGTTATGATCTGTTGGTCCAGTTATTATATCATGTATCCTTGGATTAAGTACAGCATTCTCAAAGATGATGTAGTCCGTCTTCCCTTGCAGATTTTTTTTATACAAGGTGGAACAAGTAGTTTAAGTTTTGTTACTGAAGGCTGAAGTTAATATACGGACTACCTAAACTTCGTAAAAACAACATACCATTACGACCAATCGTCAACAATATAGGTACACCAACTTACAACTTATCAAAGTTCTTCTCCACAATTCTGAGAAATGTCTTAGGACAGTCAGAATATCATATTAAGGACTCTTGAATTTTTTATGAATTTATCAAAAACCAAAAAATATCACAAAATCACTGTTTAGTATCGCCTGATGTAACATCATTATATACCAATATCCCAATTGAATATGCAATCGAATGTATAAGAAATAAATGGAAGGAAATCGAACAACATACAACAATTCCAGAAAAAAAATTGATTGAAGCGGTAGAACTATGCCTAAAATCTACATATTTCAAGTTTCAAAACAAATATTTTTCACAAATATACGGTGTAGCAATGGGTTCCCCCATATCAGCGACAATTGCAAACCATGTTATGGAAAGCTTGCAAAAAAACATAATAACAAGCCTAAATTATAAACAAACTTTCTTCAAGCGCTATGTAGATGATGGCCTTATGTGTTTACCCAAAGATAAAGTTCAATATACCCTAGATAAATTCAACAATTTTCACGACACTATAAAATTTACAATAGAAAAGGATAAAAATCAATCAATACATTTTTTAGACATAACAGTAAATTATGATAATTCAGGTGAAATAAAAACAAATTGGTATACAAAAGAAGTTTGGTCAGAAAGATATTTAAACTAAAAAGCGTAATACCTGCACTTACAGATAGAGCTATAAAATTATCACACCCAAATTACAGACAAGAAAATGTAAAAAAAGTCAGAAAAATATTACTTTTTTTTATTTTCTGAACCAATAATAAAACGAAGAATTAACAAAATTTACAACTCAACTAAATATAACAATAATGAGGAACAAAGAAACAATACATATATATCACTACCATAT